ACAATCCGGGTCCTCATTTTACCCACCTCGGAAGGATGGAAGGCTGAGTCAACCCTGAGCCGGTGAGATTTGAACAGCCGAACTGCAGAACTACAGTCAGCTGAATTAGCCTGCAGTGCTGCATTTAACCACTGTGCCACCTCGGCTCTTCAACCAAGCTTGACTCTTCAACCAAACTTGACTCAGAAAACCTACAAGGATAGCAGTGACCCCCTACAACAACCGATAGAACACATTTCTTGCACAGGAACAGGGAGCTCAAGGGCAAGGCCCAAGAGAGGGTATAAATACCTTTCTCTCTCTCAACTCCATGTGCTCATTGCCCAGGACCTAAACCATGTGGTCCTGTTCATCAATAAACCGTCTTTCCAATCAGCCGCCATGTTTCCAGTGTCTTTCTCCCCACTTGGCACTGAACCAGATGGATGTTTCTTCTAACACTAGCTATACGAGGGGACAATAACGTGAAACTGGTTTCCGTGATTCCACAGAAGAACTAATGGGGAGAAGTGGCAGGGCAGCCATTGGGCTAAAACTAAAAAAAGAACCTTACTATTAACTGTTTGGCCCTGGAACAAACTACCTCGAGAAATGATGGCCTTTTGTTCTCCGCAGGAGTTTTAAGCAGAGGCTGTAAATTTGCCTGCCAAGAATGCTGAAGTTGCAAGATTTCGGTCCAGAGCAGGGAACTGGATGACCTTCAGAATTCTTTCCAACATAAAAATCTTGCACAGTATATCTGGGTGGGCAAGCTCTCGGCAGCTGGAAGCCGCACAATTTTTTTTCCCCTTCAACTTTTCCTTAGTGGGGAATGAAAGCTGCAACATGCTAGCCAGGAAATGTCCTTCCCCAGACATTTTTAAGATTACCATGGAATAGCTGAAGGTTTCTGCTTCTTTCTTTCTCTTGCACATTCCTCCAGCTTTACCTAAAGAATTATAAATGCCTAGTTCCTGGGGGAAACATTATTTCCTCAGAACAAACACCGTAGGACAGTGTTTCTCAATCTTGGTGGCTTTAAGAAGGGTGGACTTTAACTGTAACATGACCAGGGGTGGGCTGCTACAGGTTCACTCAGTTCGGGAGAACCTGTAGCTAATGTTATGGCCGGTTCGGAGAACTCCAAATCCCACTCCTGGCTGGCCCTGCCCACCCAGCACCTCCCAGGAGTCTTCATACGGCCCATTTTTGATGTGGGGTAAGTGCAGGGCTCGCACGTAGGCTCAGGGAGTGGGAAAAACAGGCCTCCCGGAAGGCCTCCAGAGCCCAGGGGAGGCAGTTTTGGCCTCCCAGAGGCTCAAGGAAAGCCTCCAGAGCCTGGAGAAGGCAAAAGCGCCCCCCACCCCCGTCGTCATGGTACAGGAGGCTGACTAGACCACGCCCACCATGGCCACACCCACCCAGCAACCAGGCAGATTGCTAAAAATTTTGAAGCCCACTCCTGAACATGACAGCTGGAATTCTGGGAGTCCACACACATCTTAAAGTGGCCAAGGCTGAGAAACACTGCTGTACCATTTCAAATTCTGTTTTCATTACGTGGGTTTTTTTTTTTTTTTTGTTTTGCTTCTTCATCCTGTAGCTCTTCTCCCAAAGAAATTAGCCACAATAATCATTCACAGTGAAAAATCATCCTTTTTTTCCCACAATCTTCCCTGTCTGGCTTCCTCTCCACAGTCTTTCCTCGGTCTTGTTTCTGTCTGCTGCCTTGTAGCTCTTTCTATATTGAGAGTAGGGGGTGGAGAATGTGAAATTCCACACAGGATCTCTGAAAAAAAAAACCTGAGCTGCGCAGTCCCCTTGTTGTGCCTCCTTTTGCAGTTGTAAATCAGAGTTGGAAAAATAGGAGCTGCCTGGGAAAGCACCTGCCTTGCCTTTCTCTCTCTCTCTCTCTCTCTCTCTCTCTCTCTCTCTCTCTCCCTCTCTCTCTCTCTCTTCTATCTACCATATTTTTCAGAGTATAAGATGCACCGGAGTATAAGACACATCAAAGTTTTGAAGAGGCAATTAAAAAAAAAGTTTTTGCACTCTACAACCTCCCAAAAACGGCCCGTTTTTTGCAAAGACGAGCCCATTGTTTTTTT